CTGCTGAAACACAGAGTGACAATATTTTTGAGAACTTATTGATCAACCTGTGAGCAGAAATGATGACATTATGTCAGGAATTTAAGATCTAGACTGAAAAAGCAGGCTTTGAGCATATCCCTGTGTCCAATGAGCTGCTCAAGTCTCAGCATACAACCCCTTGCATTGATAGAAAGAAATGACAAATCTTAGCCCTCTGGAGGTGGCATTCTCTCCTCTGACAAGCAGAGAGCCTTAAGTGATGAGACTCTGAATTTAAGAACAGCAGTTAAGTCCCTACAGCTGGCTGGGATGAAACGGAGCCTGTCTGTGTGCGTTGCACAGATTTCAGCCCTCAGAGTTATAAAGAGGGGCATGAGCTGAAACTTCTCCTGCATGGAAGACCGTTTCACCTCCTCCATCACAGCTGTTCCGCGTAACAAATTGGAAACCTTTTTAAACAGGATTCCAATTTGATGAAGTACGGTAAAAACACACAGGACTGACACAGAGGTTACCAAAAGCAATCAAACCTGGCCCTGGAGGGAAGAATGCCCTGGACAGAGTCCTCACATTAACAGCTAGAATGTACCCTGTGGAATTGCCAAATGGATTTAACAGAAAAATGTTAGTGAAGAGCAACTGAGCAAAGGAATCTTCTGCAAGAGAAACAGCCTGGAAAAGCAAGAATAGCCAAGTGTGTGAAAGGAGAGGAGTGTTTCACCGTATAGAGAAGAACCAGCACAATACTAGTGCAAATGGTGCCTATGGAGGACAACCCCATTCATGCTGCCACTGTGCTGAGAACCACTGACTGCACTCCCTGTTGCACTAGTAGCTAAACTTGTTAAAGTGCAAAACAACTGGGTTGTTATGAGCAAAGGCAAAGGGACAGTACATGCATGGAAACAGTGAACCACACCGATAGCAGTATCTTCTAGTTCTCCCTCCAGGAGATGATATTAAGGAGGATTTTCTGTACATGCACAGCAATCTTATAAAATCCCCATGCAAAGGCAGATTAAGACTGAATAGTAATTCATATCACCTGGCCTTTGTGGAGATATGTCAAGCTTTTACAAGGATGAAACAGGCAACATTTTATAGAAATGACACTAAAGTGTAATACAGGTTAAACAATATTGCTGCTCCTGAGCCCTTAAAACCACAAGTAACCACCAGCCCTCATAAAAATCGTAAGAATGTCTACACAATCCTGAGATTTAAAAAGAATAGTACTAATGTTTATGTTGTTTATGCTTGTCTTCTGGCTTATGAGCATCTGGGCTGTACAGGAGAAAAGATATTTCACCCTTCTCCCTTATAAAATAACAGGTAAAAAACTGCCAGAGCTCTACAATACTGAAAGCAAGGATTTTTAAGAAAAAACACCAAAAAATTCTGAGAGTTCTGACTCAAAACAGACATTTGACAGCAAGATTAATGGAAGATAGAGCCTTTTACTTGAAGTGTGTCATAAAATTGGATTGCAAAAGTAGAACCTGTATTAAATTTTGTGAGGCAGTTTCATCAAATCAGCATTTGCTGTTAAAAGCCCACATGACAGGAAAAGAGTGCACCACCTAAAAGTAGCACAAATCAACAAGGAGATTAACTGCAACTGCAGCAGCATCCCCTTTTTATCCCTGGAACAACAGTGAGCTACCCAAAAGAAAAAATATTGAAGCTCTAACACAAAGATCTTTACTGCACCAAGGTCAGGAGTCTGGGGTTCCTTTTCCAGCAAAACAGGGAGCAAGTCTTGACACCTATTAGGACAGTTTGTCTACTGAGGTTTTGTTGGCAAATATAAAGGTAAGAGTTAGGCAATATGAGTAACAGGAGGAAAAGAGGTAACAACATGGAGGGCTTCTGCTCACTGCCACTGTTTGCAACGTCTACTCCAATATTTTAACCCAAGTGTTTGCCTGGAGTATGCAGTGCTGTACCAAGTGCAATTCCTTTTCTCTCTTTTGAGGGGTTACACCAAAGAAGCTCAGTGAGTCCTGAGCATTACACTGTAATGCAAAGGCAGTCTGATTTCTTCTGACAACTACATTAGTATATTCTCACATTAAAAAATAATGTTATCACAGTTCACCCTAGATTAATTATCCCAAATCAACCCTCAAGCTTTCAGCAGGCACCAGCTCTGACTCTGCATCAGATTCTGCCTCCAAAACCCTCATCGTTCTCGGGGTCTCTTTCTGAATCGATGCACACATCTGGCCTCCGGGCAGCCTAACCAACACCAAAGCTGTGCTTTTCGCTAGTTGTCCAGCCATCACTCCCCAGCATCACCACAACAGTTGCTATTTTCTTATTGATGGCAACTTCTTACCTGAGTTTTGTGGGTATTCACCAGAGAGGGTGCAGCAGCCACCATGGAGCTGCTGCGAGGTCTTGGTAACGGGGTGATCTCTGGCTCAGGTGGTTTCTCCGGCTTTTCCTGTAGCATATGCCTCAGCCTCTGCAGGTAGTACATTAGTGACCACTGCGTGCCCTCCTCAGACCAATGTGGCTGCAGCAGGCAGCGCAGCACTGCCACATCAAAGTAAGTGGCATAGCGAGACTTCTGGCATGGTGGGATCACCAAGGACACCCTGCTCCAAAAAGTAGGAGTAGAAATGTTAGTCATCAGGCTCTTTAGCCTTTCTTAGATACTCAGCTCTCTGAATAAAGAACCACTCAATGATGATCTGTCAAGTTTCTATGTTCATCTGTTCTTAAGGGGGTCACTCTTGATATCACAAAGTTTTCTTCGATAACTGGAAACCAGTTCTGTCCTAGCATACGTGCTGGTCCACCCCAAAAGACCCAAAAGCTCTACTAAGAGGCCTAGAATTTAGCCACTCATCAAGAGCTGTAAGCCATTCTCATTCTCCTGCCATCTGCAGAAGTCGCCAGGATGTGCACACAGCTGTGCCTGCTTGAGCTTGCAGGGTCATTTGACACTGACCCTTCGGGACTAAGGCCCTGACTGAGGAAAGCATTACCCAAGACACGCAAGCAATATTTAGCTTTCAGCTCCCTAGAGGACTCAAGTATATGCTTTGTGAAGTGTTTTCTTGGATAGGGTTGCTTTCTTAAACTGTGGTTTGGAGATAAGCCTCCAGCACCTGTGCTAACTGAATAATTTGTTCAGCTGGAAACAGACAACCCTTGAGGATCTGCTCTTCAGATACTAGTAATATATATTTAGGAATGGTTTACATTTGTACACATCAGGCCTTACTTAAGAAGAAGCAGGCAGGGCAGCTAAGTTAGTTAACCCTTTAAGCCAATTTAATTGATTCTTATACAAGTAAAACTTACTGTTACAGACACTCTTTGCCAAGGTGTGCTAGAGAAAAGGACCATTTTTAGCCTTCATTATGATTTCCTGCCTTTCAGGTGGTGTCATTTCCTGATGGGTTTTAGTACAGAATGTCCTAAGTATTGTAGAACTTACTGCATGCAAAACCAAGATGTCTGTAGTAAGCCTCAGATATAAGACTGAAGAGATTTCAGATCTCAAAGGGATGATATCTGTTTTCAGAGCCGATCTTATTGCAATAAAATGCCCCAACTTTTTTATTATTTGTTTTTTACACCAATTCTCTCCCAGCAGAGTACAACTGGCCTGATCTACCCTCTGTACAGTCACTAGCTGTTACGAGACATTCTGTCAGAAAAGAAGCAGAGAAAGGGAGTCAGAGGAATGAGAATCACATGGCTGGCAAAAGAAGGTGTGAAATGCTGGGGTGGGGCAGGAACTCTGGAGATCTTGGGAGGGGGGGGGTTGCCTGCAGAAGTACACAATTTGAATGTTTCTGCTCAGTATCTTAGAAACACAGCTCCGTGAACTGAGTACTTCTGTGATTTTTGGATTCTATAAAAATCAACAGCACTTCCATTAATTGTATTTCTCAGGCATTTGAGAATCATCACAAGAATATCAAACATATATATATCTTTTCAAACCATTTATATTATCAATTCTGCTAAACAACATGCAAACAGCATTGGCAGGACACCCCCATCTCCAGCTGGGTACCACCACATTCTGAACAGAGGCGTCCAACACCAAAGTCCAGCAAAGCATTAGGGAACAAGCGGCAATACTGCCCAGTGGAACCTCTAAGTGCTTAAAGTGAAGTGCGTGCTTAAAGTGCTTTTCTGGATTGCTGCCCAGTGCCACAAAGCTGCCCTGTGCATCCAAGGCAGTTATGGGGCTGGCAAAGGAGAAAGAAGTGTGCAGTGAATGTTGACACCACTTGGAATCACGTGAACCCTGCTCCATATTACACACTTGGAAATGGGGGGCAGGTGGCAAGGCTGGGCTTGGAGCAATGCGCATATCTAGAACTCAAACCTGCAGGAGCTGGTTTGCTGCCAGCCCCACAGGCCAATGTTGAAGGCACTTGGTGACTGCAGACCAGCCCATCTGTGTCAGCATATGTCACTATATGCAATCTATAGCTTCTCCCCTAGTGCTGTATTCAAGATAAAAATGTTACAAGTTTGACTACTTTAAAATGAGCTGTTACGAAAACCTGAAAAACTGAATTAGGAAGGGCAAAATAATTATAAATGGCAGTAAGTTATAAAGTTTTCCCCATAAACCTGATGTGAAGGCTGCCTGTCACAGTCAAGATTGTGTCACATAGATGCCACCTGTAAAAAACCGTAAGGATAGCTGGGATACTCAAAGCATCCCAGCAAAGGAAATAAAGCCCATCACCTCAACAGCAAATGTAAAGGATGATGCATTGCTCCCTGGTCACTTTGCAGGACCCAGATCAGTGTCTGACTCTAACCAGTCTTTCATGCTCCCCTGAATGCAGCATAGGCAAACCCAAGGCACAACACAGCTTGGAGCAAGGGATGTTCTCCTTATGAAATATTTGTCACTGAAGTCCTTCCTGCAAAGTCTATTTCCCAGGCAGTCTGTTCAAGACAGCAGCTGGCTGAAGGGCTGTGGCTTTATTTGCTTCAGTGTTAAACTGTGTCATCTGTAAACGGAGAATTTCACTGAGTGGAGCAGGGATAATGAGCCAGCATCTGAGGAACAAGCCATTTGCTCAAGATGAGTCTGAGGAAGCAGAAATGAAATTCTGTGCTTCATTTAGAAGGAACCTAGGGTTTGTATGACCAGCTCTTGGTTGCCTGAGACTGCAGGGAGAGTGGAAAGGCAGCCTTCCTTCAACCCGGGCCCAAGGACAAAGGAATACTGCGGCTGTTGGTAAGTAGAGTAAACAACATTTGTTCCCCAGTTGTCTGTTGCTTGGCAACCAAAGCTCCCTGTACAGTTTTAACTGATCAATGAGTCCTGCAAATGAGGAGACATAATGATGCTCTCTTCAAAGCCTGTCTGAAGCTTTATCCCCATAGCAACCACCAGACCCAGCTTGACAAATTGATCACCTGATGCTGTCTTCTCAAAAGGCTGCTTATTTTTTTATGGCTGTGCACTCTCTGAGCAGTAGTGTTCACACATAGAAAGGCAGTTCTATCCCCAACTTCAGTTTTACTGGCTCACATTAATACAAATTAAATAAAGACCCAGAACTGTCAGCAGGCTCGATACAAAATCCCAAGGGAAGCCTCCTGATAGGATCAGAACCCTGGATTTTTGCCCTTTCCACCAGTGAAAGAGTGCATCAAACTCCATTTTGAGAAATCAGAGCCGTTCCTAGATTATATCCAGAAACCCACTCCATCCCGTATTTCTTCTGTCTCTGTAATGAAGCAATTTCTTAAAACACTACAGTGTTTTGGATATGACATTTCCCAAAAGAGATTAGCAACAGGACCAAAATTTTTAGGAGGAGTTTAAGTGATGCTCCTAGATCCATAGAGACCTAAAAATATAGCTAGGCTTCCCTCCCTCTCCACCCCCTGAAGACACTCCTCAGCTTTATTTACTCTATGGCACTACTGAGTGCCCAGCACTACTGAAAATCTAGTTCTATCTTTACATGCCCAAATCTAGATTGAAAGAAGTTAATTCATCAGCACCATGCTGGAAAACCATGGCCTGAGCTCCAGCAGGGCAAGCTGGGAGGATGTTTGCATGGCTGCGCTTCTTTGTTAGTCTGTTCCTTTGGGCCAGTAGTCTAAAGCAAGCAAAGCAGCAGGATGCAGAGAAGGCATAATGAAGGCAATGGAGAGAGGCTTGCAAATATCCTTTGCTAAAGGCAATGAAAATTTGATCAAAAGGAAGCCAGAAAAGATACCAGCTGCCTGAGGCTGAATCTAGCTAAGGAGGGTTGAACCTGCAGGTTATTCGTTAGTGTCTTTAATTATAAGAAACCAACACATTAGGAAAGACCAAAGAAACTGTCCCAACAGGCCAGCTAGAGATTTGTCCAATGAAAGTGGCATTGAATATCAAGTATCCCCACCTGTTCATCACCCAGCACTGAGATTTGTTGAATTAAGAGTTTGAGATAAACATCCAGCACCCTTGGTGTGTACAGACAACAGCAGGTTCAACGTAAATGACTTCTGTGACCTCTGCCATTGAGTCACACTAGCCTAACTTTCTGCTGAAGGGTTTTGTACCTGGGATGTGCAGTACCTCTCTCCTGAGAGGTTTGGGAGGATACGCTTCCATCCAAGGAATTTCCACGGTGACATGCTGAAACAGTGGCCTTTGGAGGTACAGAATCTGGCTGGGTTGTCTCACAGACCACCTGTAGTCCCTTTGAATAGTTTTAATAAAAGGAAATAGGTATATAAACGTATTTATCTCTCCCATATTAGTTTTCTTACTGCAATTTGTGCTTAGACACGACTATTACTCATACCATAATACCATGGTAATACCATGGAGAAACTGATCAAGTCTGGGGCTTCTCAGTACTAGGCATTGTACAGGCAAAAGGTAAGACAGGGCTCTTGCCCAAGAAAATACATAAGATCAGGCTTTTGTCCTATAAGGCCAAGGAGATCCTGACAACTATACTCAATACCCTTTAGTTCCACTGCAGACAAGGTTGGGAGCCTTCGGAAGAACTGTGAAGAACTGTGATTTCTGGAGATAGCATACTTTAGGGTGGTAACTGCAAGCGCTGTTTCAATATTAATTTCCCCCCTCCCTCAGCTCCTTATTTAAGTTTGTCTAACCTTAGCATAGAGCTTACCTCAGTATGTCCACTGTCCAGATTGGGGGATTCACAAGTCATGCTCTGATTGTTGGTAGGAGAACTTCTCTTAGCTGAGAAAAGAAGTCAAAGGAGGACATTTCAGGAATCACCTCTAACATTAAAATGTACCACTGAAAGGAAAAACCAGAAAACAAAACCAAACCCAAAGCAGCATCTCTCTGCTGCAGACTTCCTAAGCATTAGCCACAGCCATAAAAAGAAAAAGAAAAAAGGACTGTTTTCATTTTTGCACAATTCTTTCAGTTGTATTGTCAACAACATTGCCTACTGGAAGTTGCTTTTTCTTTAAAATTAAATTTGAATATAAATTTTATCCTAAATCCATTTGGCATCAAATTGTGTTTTCCTGTGCACACTAGTGCCTTTTATTTCAGAGCTCTTCCTCTTCCTATATTTCTTGCATGTATTCAGTTCCTTTTCTAGGTTACATCACTCAATGTATTGTGACTTCCAATTTGACAAATGCCTTCATCACAGGAAACACACGGATGTCATACAGAAAGTTTGATCGACGATACTGTATGAAGAACAAGGGCATCACAAAGACTAGGATGACAATTCTTGGAATTGTCACCTCGCGAGCTATTCAGATGTGACAGTATCAGACTGACTCCAAACAAAACATTGCAAAGCTTCTTCAGTAGATTTTTTTAATTTGTTATTTGAAGGAAAATTTAAGTAAATTTCACTTTTTTGTCCCAATTTGATACTACAATGCTAAGATAGCAGAATCTTCCTTGATATAAAGAACCTCATTCCAATTTCTATTTCCGTTCTGCTGAAAACATTTTCAAAACACAAAAGAGTATTTTCATTTCAGACTCCTGAAGTTATTCTTTAGGGATTTTCTGACCACACTCCAGACCTGTGGAAACAATTCCAACAGTCAAAGAAAACATAGGACTAATTCCTTTTGTTAGTTCCAGGGCTGAAATCCTATTTTTTAATTCCAGAAGTTGAAGAAGATGGAGGAAGAACTAGATGTCAAAGATGGTTTTAAATAATTTGAAAGACTTGAATCTTTTCAATTCTGGACTGTCCCAAAGGTCTACAAAGCCTTCAGAACAAAATATGACATCCAAAATTACTTGTCGTCAGAAAAATCTTAGTGAACTACATTTTCACTACTGTGAAAATTACAGTTCCATGCTTTTGAGAATGAGCAAGCAATGCTACAGCGATATACCTAGCACACTGTCAACTCACTACCTTGTAGGAATTATGCAAAACTATTGTCTAAATACATAGAAGTAAAAAAGGTTTTTTAGAACTAGGCCAGACACAAAGGCTTGGAAGCCCAAGCACCCAACTCCAGTCTCATTATGGCTGAAGTACAAAGGAGGAACAACCCCTTCCAGCATGCAAAAGCAAATTCACAACCTAAGTCTTCTTTAGAGCTTCTTGAAACTACTTTGTTTAATTTCATAACATGGAAAAATTCAAATTTTAGATAGGAGGAGAACCTACACTGCCAACTCTGTGCTCTTCAGTGTTAATTTTTGTCTGGTGCCAGTCTGGGAAAGCCTTCCCCACAGGTGTCAGGCTGCTGCTAGATACTGCCTTTGCCCTTCTTAGCAACTAAGGAAGATATGGTGAAACAGAGATATGAGGCTGACAGGAAATGATAACTTTACTGAAGAGTTTCTCATTTCCTATTTGTGATTTCTCTTTCATCTCCTATTTAATTATTATGCAAATGTCGGTTGACTCTGAGGGGAAACATCTTTAAACTACTCTCAAAGATTTGACTAGTTCCTGCAGGATTAACATATTGCTTCAAATACGACGGCTAGAGAACGTAAGGCAGCATCAGGCAAACAAAGGAAAAGTTTCCCAGCTCTCAGGAGCGACATTACCCCAGGAAAGTCACAGACCTGTAACGATGTTCCTGATTGGTTTTACAAGGGCGTTGAAGGCAGAAACTTCAGGCTGTCTGTGTTCCCACATAGGCTGCCAAATAACAAGGCCACTGGCCAACCGAAATGTCAGGTCAGACTCCTAGAAAGACAAAGAGAGGTTGTATCACACAAGCTCACAGAAAAGAATGTTGTTTCTAGTCTAGAAGTATTGTCGTTTCTCTGATGCACAGATCTTACAAGAAATGAGTGATACCGTGTGCAGTTTTGTGGTCAGTATATGCTAACTCAGAGGCCACTGACACTCCTCAGCAGACATTAATACATTTCAAGTATAGCTATTAAAAAATAATAGGGAATTCTCAATACAAAATATACAAGAAGCTTTTTCCAAATGAAATTTCTATACTAGTTAATGAACTCTGTTTTTTCCAGGACGTTAAGCTATAAAAGAAAAGGCCATTCCTGTGTCAGAAAGCACCCCTTCTGACCATATATAACCACATCATATTTAGTATTCAATCTCGACGTTAGGATTTACATTCTGAGACTTCAAATTCTTCCCCCAAAAGAATAAGAATACTAAATATTAAAACATTACTTAGAAATTGAGGAAACATGACATGTAACAAATTACTATGAAATAGCAGTATACAGTAGCTATTATTATTAGCACTGTTAGGACCTGAGCTATGTCAATGTGTTGTTTTACATATGCAAGTAGCTGAAATCAGGTAAATTAGTACACAAGTAAATCTTAGCAGGATGAAGGTGCAGGTATGCACCTACTTGACCTAAGGTTGGATCTACATAAGGAGACACTGATGCTGGTATAGTCTGGCTATCCCCATAAGGCAAAAAAACATGGTAATAGCAGGTTTGGAAGCATAATTATAGCTGCACCACTGTCTCTTGTTGACATAGCGCCACATGCCTCAGCGGTTGAAATTGATGCTGCAGACAGAGCCAAAGGAACAGCAGGAGCTGACTGCTTATAGCTCTTCAGCCCTTCTATTCCCTACTCTTAGTGCCGTCTCGTCATCATGAGCTCGCAAGGCTTGTTATAAACTAAGCTTGTTTTTAATTACTATTTTTAGTAATTGCAACCTTGTAAAAGTAAAAGGACCTTGCAAGGCCTTTGGGAGTGGCAGCAGTAATGTGTTGCATTTTTACTTTGTGCTGCTAGCTTTTGGTGACATGCCAACACTTTCACCTACAGATGTTAAGTTACAGGATTACTTGCATCCCCCTCACCCCCCAAAAGCCTCATTTAAAACACATTGTTAAATACACAAATCCTCTCAGAAGTTAGGAATTCCATCATTTAGGTCTGCCTGTGCAAGCATGTATCATCTTCCTTGAGCACATGCATTACTTTGGTTATCTGATCAGATAGTATCCTTCCCCTGAGACCTCTGCCTCTGTGAAACACGGAAGGGACAATGCTGACATAGTGAGCCAGTTACATGCTTCATTTACCGCACCTTTTTTGAGCTTTGCTTTGATGACAGAAACATGCATGTTTTCAAGGGCTTTTCAATGTTCATCACTACAGTATCTCAGAGATCTTCAAGGTAAACCTGAGATATTGTTAGTAACCCCATCTTGTAAATGGGAAACTACATCCCAGAAAGGTTAATATAAAAAAAATTGGAAACCTAATCTCTAATAGCCAGGGTCTACCTCCAGTTTCATTTCATTTATTCAAAGGGCAGCCCACATTTGTGTGTGTAGCACTGGGAAGAATTCAGCATTTCTTCCTGTCGTGTCCCAATAGCTTACAGAGAAAATGTGGAACTAGTAATCAAGTACAAAAAATTTGGGCTAAATAAGTTGAGCAATACTGTACAGGAACTCAGTAGCAGAAGGAGGGAAAGAATCTAGCTCTCCAGACCTGCTTTCACCTGCCTTAACCAAAAGATTATCCTTTATCTCCTGTACTGTCTTATCTTCAACTGTTGCAGAATACAAGGCTGGCTTGGAAGAGATAACAGCCTCCATCACTTCATGACTTTATAGATCTTTTCCAAGCACCTACTCTGCAGAGCCAGTTTCTCTTCCAAGGCCTAGCTGGAAACATAAAGGCTAAACAGCAGCCCTCCAGAGAGATTAAAGACAAGAGGCAGGATTCAGAGCATGCAGAAAATGTCTCCTCATCACACTGCTCTGCAAAGCTGACGCACTCAGCATAAAACCAACAGAGGGACCTTGGCAGGCAGGAAGCCTGAAGCCTGCTCCCAGCTTCAGAAGAAAGGAATGCTCAATTGCCTTTGCCACCGCCATGCTCATACCACTATCATGCATTCCTGGTAATTAGCATCCAGGTGATTGTAATGACAACAACAAATCCCAGTGGCAGCCCCATGGTGGAATTCCTGGAAAGCTAGCAAGGCCCTTCTGAACAATGCTTGAGAATCACTGGAGCAAGCTAAAGCTTGCAATCCTTTCTGCAGGTTCCAGGGTCCCAAAGTCTTCACAAGGGCCACAGATCTTTGACATTCTGAAGGGCTGAAAATGGCTCACTTCAGATTTATTTCCCTTTGTGTCTGCCTGATGCTGTGGCGATTGTTCATATCACTGGAAGTATTTCTTCCTGATGGCAGTGGTATTCTGCCAGCTTGTTAAAATGTTTCCAGTGGCCACCCAGTGTGCACTGTAGGCTGAATTAATTAACAATGACAAAGGCAGAACCATTCCTTTCCTGCTCAAAGGTGTCTCCACACAAGTACCCCACCAGTGTTCCACTTACTTTAATCCTGTGGACAAGGGGAGCAAAAAGGAACACAAAAAGCTCCACTGTGGCCATGGAGTTTTGGAAGAACTTCCTTCTGTTAGTCTCCTCCTCATCATTCGTGGTGCTGGGCCGGGGATGTCCTGGTGATCCCTGGTTTTCAGCCTGGTGGATAAAGGCGCTACTGCTCCCTCCCCAACTAGAGCCTCTGTCTCCTCCAAATCGGTCATTGCTGCAGTCCTGAGGGGCCTCCAGAAGCATCCAGTGAAGAGTGTGAAGAAGCTTTGTTTCAGCTACTCCAAGCTTATCCTGATGTCCTGGATGGAAAAATGCATACAGTATCTCAGAGGGTTTCCATTAACGGTACTGTTGAGACTTTCAGAGCTGCACAGGAAACTGGGCATCCAATGTCCTGATAAGCATTTCAAAATTAAAATTCTACCATTAGAAGTATCAGCATTCTGTTTCATTATGTTTGAAAGCTCCTAATTCACCCGTCTCCATTTACTTCACAGCATTTGCAGTTCAGCCCCTGAAATATCAGTTGCAGCGCAACTGAATGCACGGACACAGAGTGCTCTTAAAAGATGCCATCTTGACAGCCTTGTCTGTTTGACTCTATTGAATGGCATGTCTCATGAAGCAAATTCCTG